GAGCTACAGTCAAATCGGAGGCTCAATATTCTCTATATAAATGGGCACACTGGGGACAACTCTTTACACAGAGCCGCATCAGCAGTGAACGAGACAGCAACGACAGCGACGACGACGACGACGACCTTGAATTTCTGCGAGGACAGAATCTGTTGAACTCTGACTGAAGAAAAAATTGTGTGCCCACTTGGTCTGTGTGTGTCCAGTTTGAGTTTGTGAGAGTGAGAGAGTGTTGAGAAAGTCAGAAACAGTCCAAATATCATCTGAAATATCACCACCATCATCATCATCCCTGCCAACATGAAGTTTGCCTTCTGCCTCCTCCTGTTGGCATCTGTCCACGGTAAGTGTGTTTGTCTTGTAAATGATAGAATTTTTCGTCCCAACAGTTGTCTAATAAACACTCTTTCTATTCTATTCACCAGCCAACCCTGTTGCCAAACCTAGCGTTAAGCCTGTTGAAACTGAGCCAGCGATCATCGTTGGCTCAACTCAGGTGGACGCCAAGGCTCAGCAGACCGTTCACCTAGACCAGCGCAGCAGAGATGATGTGCCCACCGTCCCTCAGGTGCAGCCAGTTGTCATTCCAGTGGTGCCAGTGCCCGAAGTGCCAAAGGCCGTTGAGGAGGTGAAACAGGAGCAGCCAGCAGTGGTCGTTGCCGCCCCTGCCGAACCGGCCATTGTTGTCGTTCCTGAGGCTCCAGCTGTTGTGGCCCCTCTGGCCCCCCGCAACAGCGCCCAGCCAATTGCTGAAGTGCCACAGGTAGTGCCCGCAGAGCCAGTGGTCATCCCCGAGACTCCCGTGATGGCCGTAGTGGTAGACGCACCAGCGCCAGCCATTCCCGTCTCAGCCGAACCAGCCGTCGTGGTCATTCCCGACGTTCCTGTCGCCGTAGCCGTAGAGACCACCAACAACGCCCCTGTCGTGCCAAAGGAACCAGCGCCAGCGGTGATCATCCCCTCCGTTCCCGAGGTGCCCTCTGTGATTGCAGTGCCCGCACCGGCGGCCGTTCCCTCCCTGGAGGAGCGATCAGTGGTCGTCGTGGCACCTCCTCAAGCGCCAGCCTCTGAACCAGCGCCGGCCCCAGTCGCTACCCCAGCCATCACTGCGCCCGTCCAGCCTACTGTCAGTGAGCAGAAGATTGCACCCGTTGCGCCGGTCGTCGCCGAGCCAGCGAAGCCAGTCGCCCCTGTTGCCACTCGTCCCGTGGAGCCCATCACCGCCCGTGCCATCCAAAAGCCGACCACTATTCTTGCCTCCAACAAGACCACCCTTTCCCTGGAGACCCCAGTCGCCAAGTCGTCTGAGATTCCTAAGCCGGTGGTAGTGGCCGAGCCGAAGCTGGACGCCAAGAACGCCGTCCCCATTCCGGTGGTTCCTGTCGATCCGGTGATCATCCCCGCTCCTGTTCCTGCCAAGCCTGCCACTGACAAGGTGGTGGTCGTTCCCCAGACAGCCGCCCCAGTGAAGGTCTCCGCTGAGCAGGTGCCACCAGTGCCCCTGGAGGGCCGTCGAGCACCGTCGACCCCGATCGTTGCTGTGGAGGACACTCGCAAGGACACTCCGGTGGTGGTAGTGGCCCAGCCAGTGATCGCTCCCGAAGCGCCGGTCATTCCCACCGCCCGAGACCGAGTTCAGTCGGTGGCCAGCGAGCCGGCGGCCGTTCCCATTCCTGTGGTCATTGCCCCAGTTGAGACTGTTCCAGCTGCACCGGCTGTGGTGGTCCCTGCTGCCCCAGCTCAACCCGAGCCAGCGCCAGTGCCGGCTGCAGTGGCGCCCGCAGCCAAGCCGGAGATTGCCTCTCCAGTTGAGCAGCCAGCTGCTCCTGCTGCTGCCACCAAGCAGCCTGCTGTGGTTGCATAATTTTTGCACATTTTTGTCTCTGTGCAGGTGACTCAAGTGCTCACTGCTGATCTTACACTCATTCTTTCACTCCTTTTCTCTGCTGCCGAGTCAGCAGCGTCTATTTATCGCGTCTGTAGATAACTATCAATCATCCAGTTTCCATATTTTTTCCCTGGCCAAAACCCTCTTCCTCCTAATTTTTTCTGAGCTTAGAATTCGGGTATAACAAGTGTCTCCCAATTGTGGTTGTCAACGTTGCCAAATTTTCTCCGTCTCCCTGCCTGTCTCTTTCTGTTTTTGCTAAATTGACTGTATCTCATTTGAAAAGCGCCACTTTACTTTANCCCTTCTACTTTTTTTCTGAGCTTAGAATTCGGGTATAACAAGTGTCTCCTTGTGGTTGTCAACGTTGCCAAATTTTCTCCGTCTCCCTGCCTGTCTCTTTCTGTTTTTGCTAAATTGACTGTATCTCATTTGAAAAACGCCACTTTACTTTACTTTTTTCTGAATAAACCATTCACAAAAATGAAGTACAGACTAAGAAGCTAACAGCACTCTTTGCAAACTAATCGGATCGTCAGTACTGAGCACTCTTTTTCCCCCCTCCTCCTCCTCTCGTTGTAATAAGTCAACTTCAGTCTTCTTCTTCCACTACTTTGTAAGTTGTCATCTCTCGGCTCACACAATCACATAACAAATTGCCATCTGTTTGCAAATGTTTGCCAAGTTAGCCAGGTTTTTGGCTTTCGATTTCGAGGAAAACGCCGCCGACGACAACGACGACGGGAAGACTCTCATGAAATTCTCGCACAAATTAGCACACTGTGCACAGTCTGTGCACAGTTCAGGACAAATGATGGTTTCCTCGGCAGAAAGAGTGCTCTCGGTCAGAAGCAGCAGAAAACAAATCTGCCGTCGTCATCTGCAATGCCTTCTTCTTCTTCTCTGTCCACTGTAGAGCATTGTTTCACCTCAGCACTATTAGAAGATTGCACGAAACTGCCGCGCATAAGACACACACACTTATGGTTGAGAAAAATGGATCGTTAGCTTTGTCAAGTGATTTCGCGGCACAATTTGCGTTGGCCAACTTTTTTGTCTCTCGGAGAAAGTTCACAGCGTGATTGCAGTGATGAATATTTTGTTGCCGCTTGTAAATGATGACTTGCTGAGAAGAGGGATTGACGCAATTTGTTGATCAGTGTCAATAACAAAAATCAAGGTAAATCAGTGTCAGTCCATATTGATCTCACTGCAAACTTTTGCAACAATTCTCGTCAAATTCTAAACAAAATTATGCAATTCTCTAATCGTTGCGCCATCTCACGCCTGCACTCCAAGATGCTGAACTTTTGAAAAGAAAAGGGGCTGACAGCACTGAATGAATGAATTGAAAAATGCCCAACAGCAGCAGTAAAACAGCACCAACTCATTAGCTAATAATAGTATCGCCTCAATTAGTGTCGCTCGTTTGGTGGCTCGCTGTTCATTTGATCGCTGCTCATGGCATAGAAAAGCCATTTCTTTGATTATCACCCATTGAGGCGTGACTGAGGTAGTGTGTGTCTGTCTGTCTGGCACAGTGGACTGCACCGACTGGAACAGAAAAGAAGAGCCTCATAAAGTTTCATCGTCGCAGCAATCAACAGAAGAAGAAACAAGAAAGAGAGAGGCTCTGTCTGCCTAATTGGAAGGTGCCACCGCATATTAATGACAATTAACTCAGGCTTTTTTTCAAAACTTATTGCCAATGAGTGGTAATGTGAGGTGATGTGATGTGATGTGTGCACCAGGAGGANGGCAATCAACAGAAGAAGAAACAAGAAAGAGAGAGGCTCTGTCTGCCTAATTGGAAGGTGCCACCGCATATTAATGACAATTAGCTCAGGCTTTTTTCAAAACTTATTGCCAATGAGTGGTAATGTGAGGTGATGTGATGTGATGTGTGCACCAGGAGGAGGAAAGAAGAGCCTCTGCAAAAGAGAGAGCATGATTTTGAAGTGCATTGTCGTCTCAGTCGTTGAGGTTATATTAAGAGACAACTGAAGGCGATGCGTGCGGGGAGGGAATGGAGTAAGAGATAGAAAGAAAGAAGAAAGGTAGAGAACGGGAAAGGGAAAGTAGAATTGCCAGGTGTGTGCAAGGATAATTTGACCATTACGAGAACGGGGAAAGAGAGGGAGGGAGGGAAGACAATGAGCTAGTGTGTGTGTGTAAAGCCTGTACAGTGTTCAAGGCCAGAACGGGTGGCTGGAAGGATCGTTCCCACTGTGAAGAAAGAGAGTGCAGTTCAGTTCAGCTTGATCTGCTGCTGCTGCTGCAATTTCAACTTTTTTTGCTTTGGTTGTGAGGTGACGAAGTGGCAACCACCGACTCTGTGCACTGGCACTGCAGAACGTGTCTGACTTGATTTGCTCAGAAAACACAGCCAATTTGCCAATCGTTGGCGGCTGCAGAATTTGCGGCGGTGTGTCAGAGCGTGTGATTGCTATGGAAACCAGCGCAGTATTCAGTGTAGCAATAGAATAGACCAGTCAGTCAGGCAAGTCAGTGGTGAACTCTCGACTCTGGTTTGTTCGACAATGTTGCCATCACATTCAATGCTGCTTATCGTTTTTTCTTCTCCACCTGATGCGATGTGACTGCTGAATGACAACACTGAACAACTGGCAGCGGCGGCAGTGGGCACAACAAGTAAAGCAAAGTGAACTGGTAAAGTTAGGCAAAATGATCGAATCTGAGCTGCTGAGGAAACTTGCAGTGGATGCCAGTGGTGCCTTAAAAGAAAGCAAGCTGGCTGGCTGGCTGGCGATTTGGGCGCCTGAAGCCACCGAAGAAAGGTAGTCTCTCTCCCTCTCTCTCACTGACTTTGACTGTTGAAGCAGGCTGCGCTGAAGAAGAAGCAGCATTGCCATGGCAGCCGTGAAGAAGGCTGCTAAGGCTGATGCTGCTGAAGTCGCTAGCTGCGCACGGCAGCGTCGCTGAACACAATGCTCGCAGATGAGTGATTGCAGTGATTGATGCCCGTAATGACGGAGTGAGAGAGTGAGAGAGTGAAAGAGAGAGAAAGAGAGAGCGCAGTCCACTGCTTCTGCTGGCCACTGTACCACCACCACCACCATCACCATCAGCATCAGCACTCGAAATATTGCGGGCGGTGAACGCGAGAGACTGTGTCTGTCGGGATGTGCGATGGTGATGGCGTTTTCTTTTCTCTCCCTACTCTTCTTTCCCTTTTTCGATTTTCACCCGCATACGTACGATTAGTTCAGTAGAAAGAGGGGAGAAAGAAAAGGAGAATATAATTGAGACCTTTCCACGAATAGTAGTAATACTGCAGACTGCTGGTGGGCAAAATGGTGGCGTGTGACGGGTGGATGGTCATCATCATGGCGGTGGTGCTGATGATGATGGTGGTGGTGCCCATGCTTTAGGTTTTTCTCTCAATCACCACCACTGATACCATCGAAAACTTGTGTTTTTGCGAGTGCGTGTGTGTGTTATGATCACACTCTGTCGTGGGAGAGAAGTGAGTGAGGGAGGAAGGGAGACAAATATTGTACTGTTTCGGTACGACAACAGACAGTAACATGTTGTGAGTGAGTGTGTGACATAAATCCTCATCTTGCACCACCACCACCACCACCACCACCTTTATTTGCCGCATCAGCCAACACACATAAACACACGGTAACACTGGCAGAGTTTATACAAGAGCACAGGGCTCATCCATCATGTCGCAGCTTTCTGCCACACATCCACACACACACACAGGTTCACTCTAGTACTTTTCCTAAGCATCGATTTGCTGCTTCCACCGACGACGACGGTGACGACGACTGCGACCGCCAGACATGCTTCACAATCACCAGTTTGAATGAGCGCAGGAGGGAAGGAAGGAAGGTGCAACAGTTGAAGAGAGCATAGATCCGATGCGGTTTCATCGATGATGTTGTGTGTTGGCAGCAGCGGCAAACCAAGAGAGAGAGAGAGAGAGAGAGAGAGAGAGAGAGAGAGAGAGAGAGAGAGAAGAGCTCTNAGAGAGAGAGAGAGAGAGAGAGAGAGAGAGAGAGAGTCCTACTTTCAGGCAAAAGCAAAGCCGCAGTTGTCACTGCGCCTCAGGCGGTGACAAGGAGTTAAGTGTGTCTTGGAGTGGTTGGCAGAGTTGCCTATTGCCAGTTGGTAGTGCCTGTGCCAGTGCAGTTGACCGTGTCCACTTGATAGTGTAGACCGGTGGTAGTGATGGTAAGTGTAATTATCTGTGCTAATCAAATTACGCCGAATTTAGTGCGGCCCAGATGCATCGGCACAGAAGAAGTTAACCGTCCATTCAGTATGTGTGTTACGTGCGCCAGAGTATGCAAATGGTGTCTCGGTTTTGGCAAAAAACTTTTTGCTGCTTTAGCACTTTACTGTCAAATCGCTTTTTTCCTGCCCTGGTCACATCTCCGGTGCTGCTTGTGCCCGTCGTCGTCGACAAACATCATCATTTGTTTAGCATAACTACAACCAAAACAGTGTGTGCTGTGGTTGTGGTTGAGCATTGCACACAAACACCTGCCAGTCAGTGGAAAAACGCCAAGCGAGACCGTTTTGCTGCAAAAGTGCGACCAAGTGTTTGTTAGTTGGTTGGCTGGTTAGTTGGTCAGAAAGCAACAACAGCAAAGTGCTCCGTCATCGTCTTCTCGATGACACAATCAAGAAGAAGCAGAAGTCAGTCGGTCGGTTTGACAGTTTGCAGCCCTAGTCATTCATTCGGTGAGCGAGGTGCAATCAAATTATTGCCATGCAGAAGAAATAAAGGGGCACCTTTATGCAATATTACTACCATAATACCATAACTTGCACTCAATCGAGTGGGAATAACCGTTTTGGTCGTCGTCGTCGTCGCCGTTTTGGAGGCGCAAAGAAAGAAGGGCAAAAAGTGATTTGAGTAAATGCAAGTAAGTGGCAGCAGCAGCAGCAGTGTTGAAACGGCAGTGACCCGCTACAGTGAGCCCGTCATCGAGCTAAATGTA